GTGCGTGTTCACTACTGTGCGTGTTCACTACTGTGCGTGTTCACTTGGAAGATCACAGGACGCCACAGCTGTACGCTCAAACTTACTATGACTCTTTATATTCACATTATATATCGGTGTACTGTCATACCGGATGGGTTGGTGTATGTTAGTAAACATAGATGTCTTGTGTGTCAGTGCTTTGGGAGCTTGACGTCTCAAAATCAAAGACGCCTGAGCCGCTAACCCTAGATGTGAGTGCTGCAGTATCACGGAGCATAAAGTCACTTATTCCTTTGTCTGATTTACTTTGCAGAGAATCAAAGATGATGAGCTGTCCAGTCTCATCCAGAGGATGCTGGGTAATTATGAGGAAGGATATGACGGACCTGAGGAACTTTGTCCTGCGCTTCATAATGAGCGTTCTGCGCACTTCCCTCATGTGGACGAGCAGTGTGGACGCACGGATCGCTCCAGAGCCGCTTCAGACTCTGGCCCTCCTTCAGGTGAGAGCTGGGACAGTTTACCGGCCCTGTGTCCCCCGGTGGAGCCGCTGTCCCCTCTACAGTCCAGTGACTCGGACGGCGACCCGTCTCTAGAGCGCAGCAGGCCAGACGCGCCTCCACTGACTCACGTGCTCCCGCTGAATTTGCACGGTAAACTGGCCAACGCCAAGAAACCCACAGCATATGTGAGGCCGACGGTCGGTCAGGATCAGGTGACCAGTGGTTCTCCCGAACTGAAGGCCTCACCGGAGTCTTATGAGCACTTACAGGACCTGAAGGAGAGCAGCAAACCAAACCTTCCCGCTCTGCAGTCTGCTGATGTGAGTGTTTATCCGCAGACGTTATTACAGTGAGAGCGAAACTGACCCTGTGTGTTTCATCATCCAAATGTTAAACAAGGCCACATTCTCTCTCTGTCCGTCTGCAGATTGTGTCTGGAGCGCGTGTGGGGGACATTCTGCAGGTCAGTTGAGTTTGGGACAGTCTCGATTGATAGGAAAGCCGCAGGAGTTCAGTGTCTCTTTCACACACAGGAAATGACCTCATGGCCTCCACTACTGATGACCATTTGCACGCCAACCACAGCCGAGCCGCCTAAGTTCTCCTCCACTAATGAGGTTAGATCAGAATAAATGGTTTAGTTGGTCACTGAAACACTAGCATTTGAACTCATTCTTGAGCTCATTCTTTTTTGAACATTAATTCTTGTAACTGCTTTGACAGGAGACACATGGATTCCCGACTCTCAGTAAGTGTGTGTTTGTGTGTGTGTGTGTGTGTGTGTGTTTGTGTATTGTGGAAGTCTGTTTATGTGCCTTTAATTTGTTGTGTT